AGACATAAGGACTGGAAGGGAGAGAAAAAGGATAGCTCCAGAAAAACCCTTATTGAGTATGGTCCGTTTGCAGAATCTGAGGTAGCTATTAGGAAATGTATTAACTGTAAGATGAGATTTTGAAACCATCAGAATGTTTTACATACAAAGAAAATATAATCAAAATAAAATAACAATCTGATCTCAAATAACAAAGCATTATGTTTGTGAACTATCAAGCATTTCAGCAAAAAGATGTCATGCTATCTTTGGTGCACCAAAGGCTTTCAGAAGCGATACCAAATAGACATTTGCTATGTCTCCATTTGAATGCATCTTATCATCAAGGAATTTGTGTGCCTATTACAAATACTTTTCTTTTTCTAGACTGCTTGKGGCAACAGGTAAAGACATTTATGATGAGGAGGAGTTGATTATTCGCTGAGCCCGTCAAAACAATTTTGTGTCAATAGACAGAATATATGTGCACAGCTCTAATGGGGATCTCTCCATAGTGATGCCTGGAAGACTTGTCATTTCGAGAGCACCTTGCCCTCCAGGCCCTGTGAGCATTTTTTACAGGCAAGATCAACGTGCCTGAGTTCTTTTTTCCAACTTTCAGTAATGTTTGTTATTGTTTGTCAGCAGCTCAGCTCTGCTGGAGAAACCTTCTTCAGTGAATAATGAAGTTATTCCCACAGTGACTGCTGGGTTCCAAAATTTTCAGCACTCTACCTATGGCTATTTTGCTATACATGAGAAGCACAGAAAATCTTACTTTTCATGGCCCATAAATAAACACCCAATCCAACACTTCAGCACATTTCTAATTGTAATGCAGCGTGTAATGTTCCAGTGCACAATACAGATGTTTTCAGTTATTTTATGAAGAGGAGACAATGATGGTTAAGTGTGTGTTTGCATTATACTCACGGCATGAAATCATTATGTTCAACTTTCTTGATCATTTTCTTCACAGAAAAAARGAGACACGTTCAGCCGCGATTCTTGCCCACATTGAGCAAGCTGCAGAAAAGGCAAAGACATTCATTTAGAGTCCACTTACTTATAGGTAAATAAAAGGGAAAGACACTGTTTGAACACTGGACTCTTCCCATCTTTTTTATGTTAGTCATACACCACTTGAAACGAGCACAGAGGTGATAGAATATAAGCSAAAAGTTCTCCCGTGGAATATCTATCTTCTGTGATACCTGCTCACCCAACCACTTCCTCAACCCTTCCYTGCCACAGGTTGAAAACATGATGGTCCTCACAGGTCTCCTGCAAGCAGTGAGTTACTACCAAGTCTGTTCCTTTGATATCCACTCTTATTAGTTTGTCTCTGCCATGATTCCCCTCATTTGTCCTTCTCCCATATCTTTCCTGTCCATCTATGTCAGTCTTTGGTAAAGTAAAAGGAACTACCCAACTAATCCTTCTGCTGACATTTCTTTTCCTRTTCCAGAGTAATCTCCCTTTATAGCAGTCCAACTTTTGTAAATTATTACTTGATGAGAATCACTCATTATTTCACTTATAAAAAGGCCTGACTTCACAAACAGATATTTATATGCGATCTATTTGTGTAGGCACAAATAGCTCTTTTGGCTATGTGAATCACCCACATGGATACACATAAGCAGTAAATATCTGGGTAACTCCAGACCACAACTTGAGACCATTTTAGCTTTTGAAAAAGCAAACCTTAAATGGGAAAAAAAAAAGTTGGATATTCCTACATTGGTAGGGTAGGGTTTTAACCCTTCAAGAAGAGTTTACGGTGTGAAACCATTTGTGATGTACAAATGCAGATAAGAAAAAAACAGAAGAAAGAGTTCTGACATGATTTAATAATGATTTATAGGTACTGAAATGAAAACAAAATAATCAGAAGCAGCCTAAAGCCTTAGAGCAAGCCATAAAACTAAAGGGAGCAAACTTTGAATCTTTTTGTTACATCTTTCTTTGTCAAAGTACAGAAATGTGAAATGCCAAATGAACCAAAGGAGAGAAGTCACTGACATAGTTCAGGACAAGCTGCATTTTTAAACACAGCATACCCCAAAATACTTGAAATAGGCAGAGGGAAAAATRAGATCAGGATGCAGTGACATTGCATGTGATTTAAATGTAAGTATTTCAAAAAGGCAATAGAGGGAACAAAAAATTCAGAGGCATAGACTTGAAGGAAACATTTCCTTTAAGATGAATGTGGATTATGCAAATAGAATCTGTATTGAAACCRGATTTCAATATTGGATTTCAATACTGATCAAATTTCAGACCTAGTAAAAGTTCAAATTTTGATGTTAAAATTATTTTACAGCAGCCATGAGTAAGGATTTACTAATTTGAGTAGGGATACTAATGCAATGGGCTTAAACTTCAAATCTTTGAGAAAATCTGGGAAAATAAGCTGTGGCAGTGAAATGACATGGTTTAAGATTGCACTTCAGTGAGATGCTTATAATGGGCAATGGTTTTAAAATATTCAGTCTGACTTCTGCTTCAAACTGCAGATTTTTTAAATTTAATTTACTTAAAAATATTTGACAGATATATTATACAAATGTATTTGTCTACTGTTCATTTCCAAGCCAGGTTTCTCACACTTTTGAATTATGTGTTGCTACAGTTGGGCTACTGATCAAGTGATAATTTTAAAAAAAAAAAAAAGCTGTAGAAAAATTTAACCTAGTAATTTCTACTTCAAGTGACCTCCATAACCACTTTGTAGTGGTCATCCAAACTATCCAAGGAGGAGAAGACAAAATTCAATGAGTTTTTATTAGTTTCAAAACAAATCCATAKCTTATTTGAAGTGGAGTTCTAAACTGGCTTCCTTCTGTAGTCATTGCCTGCAAAGAAACTTTATAAAAGTCTGATTTAATTTATTCTCCTTTCAATACTATCCACAAATAAACACCTTTTGTAAACAAATATTATTTGATGATTTTTTTCCAAAGTTTCATAGCATGTTGATGTTCTTTATCATGTGCTGCATTGTCAACTAAATTCATTATAGTCTCCTTGTCACCTGACAAAATGACAGAAAAGAAAAAAAGTATGCCATTAACGGCAATTTTTATCCATTCAAGAATAGCCTAGATCACATATGAACATCTTTTCAAAGCAAAAAATTAGCACAAAARAAGAGGGGGGGAAATATGCAGTCAAGGATATATTAGGAATTTGAAGAACTGTATATATGCACAGTTATGCAGTATGGAACTAGTTCTCTGGGTGCTAGCATATATTTAAATTTTTCTACTCTGTATTCCATACAGATACTTTATCCAACATCCCCCAAATTCTTTTGCTCTTATTGCCTGTAAAACTTGAAAATAATACTTAAATCTGTTAGAATTATTAGGCTTTATCTTGTCTCACAAATTTCATAGTATAGCTTGCTTTGTTCTCTTCATTTTTAGTAAAGGTGATTGAAAACTATCTGGAGGTCTAATACAACATAAAATGTTCATTACTATTCCAAAGGRAAAATGTAATAGACTTACAGTGGGATTTGGTCCCAAGCATTACATTCTGCTTTGGCATATACCATATTTAGTTTTAGGACTGAGTCTGGCTTTGTTTTTCAAATAAAGATGATTTATAATCAGATATGACATGATAGAGGAAAAAGGAAAACTCCAAAATGTTGGCATGGCTCTAAAAGTGAGAAGTACTGAATTTTCAGAAGGCTAGTAGTAAAAGCATTAATGGATTTAAACTAGATTGCACAAAATATTTAGGAATGTGTTGTAGATCTCTACTGTCTGGAAATAACCCCGCATTACAGACACTGTAACAAAAGAGACGGGTACGTCATTTCCACCACTAATTGCTAGCATCAAGCAATACCTTTTTCAGAAACAAAATATTGGAGAGAAAGAGGGAGGGTTTTTTTGTCCTTAATACTAACACACTTAACGAAAACATCTTAGTGGTCAGCTTTCAAAATTCCTTAATTCTAGAGAAAGCATCTTTTTACTTAAAAATGCAAATTGCTGGTGAGTTAAGCATGTACTGCAGAGGACGAATTCCTCACAATCAACAACTAATAATAACAATAAAAAAAGAAAAAAAAAAGGGGAGAAAAGCAGCCAAACCATCTGACAAAGCCTAGGGCACATGTAACCCCATCACTACAAATGACTGCAGAGCTTACAAAACGAGCCAGATGCTGCTTCTGGAAGGATTTCATCTATAATACCCGAACGGCGTGACAGCCTAACACAACTCATGTTTGGCCTAAAGGTGTGTATCACTGGTGGAATGGGCAAATAATGAGAGGAACAGGAGTGAAGCTTCAATCCTAACTAAGGGTTTTTTCTTTTTTTTATTATTTTTATTGCATTTATTTTACCTGAAGACACTGGCACAGATGGTGCTTCTATAATATGTTGTTACTTGCATTGCTGTGTTCATGTCCAAATTCACATCCGAAAAATAGTCCGTCTTCTATAGCGCTTCTCTGGATTGGGCCAAATGAAGAGAGGACAAGGGTCATCTTGGTGTGCAATAAAGAAATTTACCCATAGCCCCCTCTGACAGGTCCAGCATCTGGTCATCTCAGCCCTCCTTCCCAACTAGGCACACTGTTGGATAACAAAATAATTGCTGAATGAACAGACTTCATGAAAGGGCTGGAAATACGCATTTCACAGAAGGCATGGATACTGGCAAGGCTTACACAATCCATCAATTCCAGTTTAATTTTCCCTCCTTTTACTTGATTCCTCTGAAAAAAAAAAAAAAAAAAAAAAAAAACAACGCTTCTAAGGAACAGTGGAGGCTGATAGAGACCATGAATCCACACTCTGGAACTGGGATTTAAGTAGACAGATTTACTAGTTGCAACCGGGTTTGCTCCGTTGTTGCTTCTATTTGTCTAGTTTGAGCTTATTCTCATAAAGGTCTTCCCTTGCTGAGCAGCCCTGGCTACATCAACCTCAGCTTAATCCTTCTTGCCAATTTATACTGCATTCCTTAACTTATATTAATTGTTAGTTAGGAGGGCTATTTGCAATTTGTTAAATTATTCTGATGATTTATGGCTTTGGATTCCTCTAATCAGAAAAAAAAATCATTGAGTTTCCTAAAGATAAATAAAAACATYTTCTTTTCTGTGACATTTACTTATAACATGTTAGCACAAAGCAGATTACTGATGCACTAGCATAAATTCTTCAGCATCAGGAACATGTTTAAAAGCACATTTGTGTTGAATTTTGATAAATTGAAGCAAAACATAAAAGAGATTTAAGACAAGATACCTGCTGAACAACATAGCCAGAAGACAGCAGAAGAAATCTTCAATCTCATATTCAGGAAYTTCCTCATGAAGAAATGCAATTCCCTAAACACAAACTTTTTTCCTGTTTTTGTTGTTGGTGTTTATTTGTTTGCTTTTTAGCTAAGGGAGCTCTAAGTCTTTCTAATAATGAAAATTGAAGTAGAATAAATCTCCATCATGGCATTATTCTGTCAGCTCATAGCAACACACATTTGACAGGGTCTCATAAGCTCTCAAAGGAAAGGTCTTCAAGTTGTGGATAGATACCACAGCAAGTGATCTTTGCCTAAAAAGCAAGCAAGCAAGCAAGCAAACAAATGAACAAACGAACAAACTTCTTCTAGTTTAACTACTATGATTAGGAACATGGAAGAAAAAAAAAAGTGTCAGAGGAAGACTTGGTCCTTTACAACAATAACTTAATGCATTTAGGCAATTCATATAAATTAAAGAAGGTATAAATTTCCTACTATAAATTGCATTCCACTCGCTTATTTCACTAGATTATATCCCAGAATAGATGATGTCTAAATTGACTGGTGCTATTCCCACTGAATAAATGTTAAACTTGATGTAGAGTGAGGATACCATTATGGTGATGCTATCTTTGGATAAGGAAGTAACCTAAAAACAAGCAAGAACTGTGYGATATTCACACAATAGAAAAATTAATTCCTTAATCAGTAGGAATATGTGTCCTGCTGAAACTGGTAAAGCTATGTCTCTTGKTTATTGCTCATTTAAGGTAGGTCTCAAAACCCTCATGGGTCTCTGGAGCCAACGCAAGACAAGTTTTCCCCACTTTTATCTTCCTGAAAATTATCATCTCCACTGCAGCCAGCAAAGGAAGGAAGAGGAGGAGTCCCTTGTCAGAAATGGACCTTAACTGGCAGCTAAGATCAGCACTCAGTATGGAGATATCAGTTATAGTTGCCTTGCTGGAGCAAACTCCAGGACCAAGGTCCAGCTCTTAGACACGTGTGCTCATGTAGTGATGACAGTGCCCCACACAGGGTCCCCACGCATGGACGGATCCAGCTTTCTATCAGGAATGTCATCTCCCAAAGCCAGACAGGGGACAGCAGTTCTATGCAAAMGTCAGAGCCATGTGCCAGAAACCAGCAGTGCAAAAGCCTTCTCCTTCCTCTTCAGACCTGAGCTAGGACAGATTCTGTGCTGAGTAAGAAAACTTCTCTCCACCCTTTCCATTCCTTTCAGTGCTCAGATACACAATGCTCTCTAAGCAATACTTTAAAACCATATGTTTGCTAAAGAAATTACTTTACACAATAGACAGCGTAGGTGGCCAAAATAAGCAGAAAGGCTACAGGCAGCGAGTGGCAATGGCACAGCGACCAAGTTCTGCACTTCGCCAATGGCCACAGAAGGGACTGTGTGGCACCACAGGCCRCAGGAGTCTGTAATGCCTGGGCTGTGCCGCCTTCGAGGCTCCTGTCCAGGGGATATATCATGCAAGCCACTTTCTGCCATACTCAGAATCACAGAGTAATGCAGGGAAGGACTCCTGGATGGAGACTTTTCTGCTTCGATTTCTGTGGGGTTTGTAACAGCAGATGCTCTTTTAGGGCTACCTGCCCCAGCAGAATTATGGTAAACACAAGCAACTATCTATCTACATAGCTATTAATCAGGTCATCACAACCTGAGGCTTGGGGACACCGGGCTGCCTGTGAAACACTGCTAAAGAGTCAAAAAATAAGAGAGCTAAGATTGACACTGCCATGGAGAGCAACAACAACCGCTGTGAACCACCGAAGCACAGGGGTAGCTGTGGCCATTTGTATTTTAGTAGCTTGACTGCAAATACGGACCTCAGTGTGTGTGAAAAGAGGGAACCAAATAACACAGGTTTGGATTTCATAATGTTTGAACTGTTTAGGAGATCCTTACTATTTGAAAAGCAAGTATAGGCATAGGATTAGGGCAATAGGTGTGACCTGACTTTATCTCACCTATTCCTCTGAACTCTAGCCCTCATAATACAAGCACACGTGTTGGCACAGGGTTGGTTGTTATTCACCCTTTTCATACACTGCCTGATGCATCTTTGTCATGATTCATTATTCCTAACAGCTATATCAAGTGTTGCAATTACTGCACAATGCAGATTTAAGCCTATAATATTTCTAGATTGGAAAGAGAAAAATAATATATTAAGTGCTTGTGATATCTTTATGTATAAGTTTGAGAATCATTAAATAGCTGTCATTCTTCCTTCTTCCTCAGCATCAATTACTCCACTCTGGTTTTACTTACTCCACTCTGTATAATGAGTCCCTAGAGCATGTTTCATTGCGGGAGAATGAACACATTCTTCACTTGCGGTCAGTGGGATGTGGTTAATTTGAAATCACTTAAACTATTATATCTGTCAAGCGTGGTTATTTTATTTTCAATTCACATCAGTGTTTTAGTATGCATGTCGGTTACTGGGTTAAACTGGCAGATTAATTTTCAAGCATTCTGTTGCAATGCTCTTCATCACTGTCTTTACATATAGGAAGCTAATATGTTCCCATTAAAATTTACTTCAGAGGCATCTACCTTTCATATAAACACTCATATCATCACCCCACACACTACTAAATGAAAATGGGCGATATCAGTGGACTTTTCTCAYGAAAACCTGAAATAGCTTTTTCTTCATTGTTCTGTCTTAACTTCTTTTGGAAAATCAATCTGCATTAAGATAAATATTTGTGGTAAAAAAAAAATCAATAGCTAAGGTGTCTTTGTAATGTTTTCTGATATGGTTACAGATCACATTGCTCAAAAAAACCCACAGGCTAAGTTCAGTGTGAGCAGATTCCAAGTACAACTCACACTGTATAAAATCAAGTTTCTCCCTTTTAAAATATTGTGGCTTGAAATTTATAAATAGCCAGAATTTGAAGATGCTGAAATACTGACTTACACAGCAACTAATAACAGGGTGCTCATACAGAGAATTAGAGGAACCGCCAATGGGCTTTTTATTACAGCAATATTGTACATATTACATGAATAAATTACATCGTTGCATTATGCAGCTGCTGCATCATCAGTTTAGAGAGTAGACTGCGATCCTAAGTATTCTAGGATGCAAGCTCATTATCTCTAAATCCACTTTGGTTGCAGCCACAATACGATCCTAGCTAAACTGCTTTCACGTTATGTATTGCATATACCTACGAGTAATCAGGTCCATGGCTCTGAGATGGACTGATGAGTTTAAGAATCTAATCAAAGTTAGGGGGAAAAAAAAAAGAATCTATTTTTCTGTATCAGGCARAAGCTTTCACTTGGAAAGGTTATTAGGAAGACTATATTACCCATAAAAATACAAATCTACATATGTTGTGAAACATCATTTTTGATTTGAAAGATACTAGTGGAAAAAAAGGCATTTATGTAATGACAGTTCTTCTCACTGTAAAATAAAAAAAGGCAAATTAAATGTTTTCTCTCTATCTTATTATGATGATGACAACTGCTATCATTTGAGTGCTGCCAGGGCACTTCTTCAAACTCAGTTGTTTTTATTCTCTGCACATTGTTCTCTCATCCCATCAAATAAAACACAAATCTTAACGTACTCCACAGCTGCAAATGTTTGCCTGTGACTGGTGGATTTGCATTTACATATTTTATATACTGACCCGAATATCTTTGGCTAGGAAAGTAATAGCTGCTCCGCTACGTTCATTCTGCCGAACCCAGCAATGCCATTTCATTGCTATTTTTCATTTTGGCGAACCTGTGTTTATTTTCCCCGCTATTGTTATTCCACTCCGCTGCAAGCACGTCCTTTGTATGGCCCACCTGGCTCATTGTGCCTATCACCTCCTGGGAAATGCTCTGCCTGGTGAAATTAGAGGAGGTTTTACTACTAGCCTTAATACGGACAACATTTTACTGCTGGGCTCCCGCCAGATGAAGCTGTTTGTTGTATGSTGTTTTTACAGAGCTTTGCAGAGGCAGCTTCTTTAAGAGGCTCCTAAAAGCTATCATAATCATGGAGATAATAATGGTTAAGGAGAGGATAAATATGTATAGCTATATCTTTTTATTCACATATAATAAAACTAGGTGTGAGAAAATTGCACCCTTTTAGTCTAAGCAGTTTCAGAATAGAAACAACCTCGGTTCAGATCCAAAATTTTGAWGCTGC